AAAGGCTGGCCGACCCTGCACAAGAGGGACTGGCAGCTCAAAATTGTGAGGAAACAGTGTAATTTTATTTATCCATGATGCTGCAAAGGAATAATTAGAGCTAATACTACAATGTGGTGAAATTTGGGCAATACTGCAACACCATAATAAACTATTAACATTTACTTCTGTACAAGACTGGGCTTCAACAGCTTATGGTACTAAATCAACTAGGAATGGTTAATAAAAATAATAATAATAATACAAGTAATGTAAGTGAGACAATCATCACTACATGGACATGAGTTGTACTGCCTTCTGTGTGATTTCGAAGAAAATTTTACCGTCTTCGGTCGAGTTCTTTCTTACTCCAAAGAAGTAATACTCTTGAGATTCCTTCAGTGAGTTCAATACGTTCGACAGTTGGCGGTCAAGTCCATGTTGTTCCCACGAATAAGCTGCAGGCAGAGCTGTTGAGAGAATATAATGCTGTATGGTATATTGTCTTGGGTATACTCAGTCTTGTACAGCAGGCAGAGCTGTTGAGAGAATATAATGCTGTTGTTATGGTATATTGTCTTGGGTATACTCTACACTGCCCTGGTATAGCTAGTCAGTCTTTAGCTGGACACCACACATTGCTGATCTACCACTGAGCAGTAGCCTGAGAGACCCCTTCACTCCTAACAGATCTAAACACCATCTCTAACACTGCTCTCAAGCAGAAAAGGTAATCAAATGCCTATTACCAGTTAGGTTGTTCACTATTGTAATGGAGAAGGGAAGGAAAGGTAAAGGAGGAAGAAGGATATAGAAGGGTGAGAAGGATAAAGGTGGAGGGAGAGAAGGATATAGGAGGGGGGAGAGAAGGATATAGGAGGAGGGAGAGAAGGATATAGGAGGAGGGAGAGAAGGATATAGGAGGGAGAGAAGGATATAGGAGGAGGGAGAGAAGGATATAGGAGGAGGGGAGAGAAGGATATAGGAGGGGAGAGAAGGATATAGGAGGAGGGGAGAGAAGGATATAGGAGGAGGAGAGAAGGATATAGGAGGGAGAGAAGGATATAGGAGGAGGGAGAGAAGGATATAGGAGGGGGGAGAGAAGGATATAGGAGGAGGGAGAGAAGGATATAGGAGGAGGGAGAGAAGGATATAGGAGGGGAGAGAAGGATATAGAGGAGGAGAGAAGGATATAGGAGGAGGGAGAGAAGGATATAGGAGGGAGGGAGAGAAGGACAGGAGGAGGAGAGAAGGATAGGAGGAGGGAGAGAAGGATATAGGAGGGAGAGAAGGATATAGGAGGAGGGAGAGAAGGATATATAGGAGGAGGAGAGAAGGATATAGGAGGAGGGAGAGAAGGATATAGGAGGGAGAGAAGGATAAAGGAGGAGGGAGAGAAGGATATAGGAGGAGGGAGAGAAGGATATAGGAGGAGGGAGAGAAGGATATAGAAGGGGTGAGAAGGATAAAGAGGAGGGGAGAAGGATATAGGAGGGGGGAGAGAAGGATATAGGAGGAGGGAGAGAAGGATATAGGAGGAGGGAGAGAGAAGGATACAGAAGGGTGAGAAGACAAAGGAGGAGGGAGAGAAGGACAGCAGAGGGGAGAAGGATACAGGAGGAGGAGAAGGATAAAGAAGGGTGAGAAGGATAAAGGAGGAGGGAGAGAAGGATAAAGGAGGAGGGAGAGAAGGATATAGGAGGAGGGAGAGAAGGATATAGGAGGAGGGAGAGAAGGATATAGGAGGAGGGAGAGAAGGATATAGGAGGAGGGAGAGAAGGATATAGAAGGGTGAGAAGGATAAAGGAGGAGGGAGAAGGATATAGGAGGGGGGAGAGAAGGATATAGGAGGAGGGAGAGAAGGATATAGGAGGAGGGAGAGAAGGATATAGGAGGGAGAGAAGGATATAGGAGGAGGGAGAGAAGGATATAGAGGAGGAGAGAAGGATATAGAGGAGGGAGGAGAAGGATAGGAGGGAGAGAAGGATATAGGAGAGGAGAGGAAGGATATAGGAGGGGGGGAGAGAAGGATATAGATGGGGAGAGAAGGATATAGGAGGAGGGAGAGAAGGATATAGGAGGAGGGAGAGAAGGATATAGGAGGGAGAGAAGGATATAGAGGAGGGAGAAGGATATAGGAGGGAGAGAAGGCTATAGGAGGAGGGAGAGAAGGATATAGAGGATAGGGAGAGAAGGATATAGAGGAGGGAGATGAAGGATATAGGAGGGAGAGAAGGATATAGGAGGAGGAGAGAGAAGGATATAGAGGGAGAGAAGGATATAGGAGGAGGGAGAGAAGGATATAGGAGGAGGGAGAGAAGGATATAGGAGGAGGGAGAGAAGGATATAGGAGGGAGAGAAGGATATAGGAGGAGGGGAGAGAAGGATATAGGAGGGAGAGAAGGATATAGGAGGAGGGAGAGAAGGATATAGGAGGAGGGGAGAGAAGGATATAGAGGAGGGAGAGAAGGATATAGGAGGGAGAGAAGGATATAGGAGGAGGGAGAGAAGGATATAGGAGGGAGAGAAGGATATAAGAGGAGGGAGAGAAGGATATAGGAGGCAGAAGAGAAGGATATAGGTGGAGGGAGAGAAGGATATAGGAGGAGGAAGAGAAGGATATAGGAGGAGGGAGAGAAGGATATAGGAGGAGCAAGAGAAGGATATAGGAGGAGCAAGAGAAGGATATAGGAGGAGGAAGAGAAGGATATAGGAGGATGAAGAGAAGGATATAGGTGGAGGGAGAGAAGGATATAGGTGGAGGGAGAGAAGGATATAGGAGGAGGAAGAGAAGGATATAGGAGGAGGGAGAGAAGGATATAGGAGGAGGGAGAGAAGGATATAGGAGGAGGGAGAGAAGGATATAGGAGGAGGGAGAGAAGGATATAGGAGGGAGAGAAGGATATAGGAGGAGGGAGAGAAGGATATAGGAGGGAGAGAAGGATATAGGAGGGAGAGAAGGATATAGGAGGGAGAGAAGGATATAGGAGGGAGAGAGAAGGCAGTACAGAACAATACCGTGACTTACATTACTCGCTATTGGCCGACATTGCTCCCTCTGCCTCAGAGAGGCTCTCCAGGTCAAATGGAGGAGGTGACATATACGCTCCTGTAGATAGATAGATGTTTTAATGATCACAAATTATTAATACAAAGTTTACACTAAAATTTGACATACAATAAAATGGTCCAAATGTTTTAAAAGACCAAACATCAATAAAAGTCCACCGATTCAACCAGTAACACAAAACCACGAGTAAATAAACTAAAACACATAAAATGGTTGACTTGTAACTATATACATGAAGTATTAGATGAACTGCACAACAAACAGTTTCATAATCCATTCTTTCAGTTAACAAATTTACAACAGTTGAAATACTATATTGATGGTGTGTTGTTATGAATGGGGTAATGTACTGTGTACAGTGAAATATATTTCACCCCAAGTTGGGTAAATATAATTGTATCTAATGATGTGAGAGCAGGGCTGGTATTTGATACATCAAATATTTTTCTGTATGTATGAAGGCATTTTTGTAGCATAATGTGGGAGTTTATTAATATTGGAGCCAAGTCAGTCACTGGCTGGCCTTGGAGGTGGAAGGATGTCTCAGTTTGTCAGTGGTGGATACCTTTTCAAATTGGGTTTAGTTAAGTATTAACCATTCAGTGCTGCTCTATTATTTATGGGTGTAAATTACTATTACAAAATAGTTTATTGTTTATATATTAGTTGTTATGGAACCTACACACTTATTATGGTTGTCATTTTTTAAATCTTTTATACAGAGTATAATTGTTAACCTTCACTCCTGAACTGTTGGGTTAAAGGCAGCTGTTTGAACCCAGCAATAACATGTGTTGAGTTAACAATTGTGTCATAAGAGCCACCATTAATCTTCAAGTTAATAAGTTATGGGCACTCTTCACCAACTGAATAACACCACATGGCCCCTGTTCCTCCTCCATGGCCCCTGTTCCTCCTCCATGGCCTCTGTTCCTCCTCCATGGCCCCTGTTCTTCCTCCATGGCCCCTGTTCCTCCTCCATGGCCTCTGTTCCTCCTGCATGGCCCCTGTTCTTCCTCCATGGCCCCTGTTCCTCCTCCATGGCCCCTGTTCCTCCTCCATGGCCTCTGTTCTCCTCCATGGCCCCTGTTCTTCCTCCATGGCCCCTGTTCCTCCTCCATGGCCTCTGTTCCTCCTCCATGGCCCCTGTTCTTCCTCCATGGCCCCTGTTCCTCCTCCATGGCCCCTGCCTCATATGTTCCTGGCCACCCACTCTCACTGGTGTCCACTCGTTCATCTTTATCTTTGTATTACACATTGTATCAACAGTTGCATTGATAGTCTTGTATAATTGTACTCTACTTGGGTCTGAGTTTGACAGTTTGTGTAAGGCTATTTGAACATTGTCAATATTGTTAAATAAAAGATCGTGTACGCGTCTGCCGCACGGTGTTGGATGGAGGCAGAGTCGGTCGTACGTCCCGGAGGATAAATTATTCTAAAACGTTTCTTCCACATTTACCAGACCGCACTCATCAAGGGGTTAGGTTAGGCTGAGGCCGTGAGTGTACTTTCCGATAATCGACTGCCGTATACCAACACACGCGAGAAAAATAAGACCGATTAACGACGAAAACAAAAAATAAAACGTGAAAAATTCAACACTTACGTTTAGCGGGTGTACTTGACCCCCTGGGCGATGGATAGGTTCTTTTGATGGGACGATCAGTGTCCTTCACCCTGGCACTGTCCTCCACCCTGACAGTGTCCTGCACCCTGCAAAACAACACAACCACACTTGAGTGATCAATCCTTATGGAAAATTATTGATAATAATGACCTGCCAATCACAGCAGCCATACGACAACTGGCAAGACAATATATAACATTACAGTATGTGGAGTGACTATATTATTATTACAAAGAAATAACTTGTTCAACTATTGAAAGACAAGCACCTTGGTGGTTGGGCAACCTGTTGAGAGCGGTCCCTCTGCTGCACCCATGACAAAAGTTCATGGTGGTGAGAGGCCCACCACTCTCTCAGGCGGGTTATTTCCGCCTTCTCCACATCTGTGGAAAACACGACAATGACAAATATTATTGTGTTGTTTCCTCCAGTAATATCAACTTTAGGGCAGTGACACAGTACAGTGTGGGGACAGTACAATAGTGTGGGGCAGTGACACAGTAGTGTGGGGCAGTGACACAGTACAGTGTGGGGACAGTACAATAGTGTGGGGCAGTGACACAGTAGTGTGGGGCAGTGACACAGTACAGTGTGGGGACAGTACAATAGTGTGGGGCAGTGACACAGTACAGTGTGGGGACAGTACAGTGTGTGGGGCAGTGACACGTGGTGTGGGGCAGTGACACAGTAGTGTGGAGCAGTGACACAGTACAGTGTGGGGTCAGTGACACAGTAGTGTGGAGACAGTGACACAGTACAGTGTGGGGGTCAGTGACACGTGAGTGTGAGACGGTATTTACAGTACAGTGTGGGGACAGTACAATAGTGTGGGGCAGTGACACAGTACAGTGTGGGGCAGTGACACAGTACAGTGTGGGGACAGTACAATAGTGTAGGGCAGTGACACAGTACAGTGTGGGGACAGTGACACAGTACAGTGTGGGGACAGTACAGTCGTGTGGGGCAGTGACACAGTACGGTGTGGGGCAGTGACACAGTACAGTGTGGGGACAATTACAATAGTGTGGGGCAGTGACACGGTAGTGTGGGGCAGTGACACAGTACAGTGTGGGGGCAGTGACACAGTACAGTGTGGGGGCAGTGATACGGCAGTACAGTGTGGGGGCAGGCTGGTACAGTGTGGGGGCAGTGACACAGTAGTGTGGGGGCAGTGACACAGTAGTGTGGGGGCAGTGACACAGTACAGTGTGGGGGCAGTGATACAGTACAGTGTGGGGACAGTGACACAGTATAGTGTGGGGCAGTGACACAGTAGTGTGGGGACAGTACAGTAGTGTGGGACAGTACACAGAAAGTAGTTGAAGGGTCAGGAATCAACATATTAGCTGACACAGATTCAGAAACACTCATCCACATCATCTGGGTTTAACTACATCCGGATCATCCATATTTCAACGAGCTGTACGACGTAATCTTACCAGTGACTCTGTAATTTTCATAGTCAGTAATAGGTTCAAACTCTTCACTGCATGCTGAACTAAATCTTACCACTGATTTGGCCGAGAAAACCTTGGCCACATACTTATTATTGTAGTGCTCCACCTGAAATAAATAAATAAATAAATAAATAATTTTCCTTCACTGAACAACAACAAGATAGGCTCAGGTGAACATTAGGCACCCCAGTTTATTTCAGCTAATGATTAAACACTAAGACTGCCTGGGGAGTGAAGGTTACTGTACACCCCAGTTGATGATTAAACCCCTTAATGCTAACCTAACCTCAGTTAGTTTAGATAATTGTACACAAGTTAGAGAGCTGTTGTTCACAATGTACAGTACACACACAGGGTCATCAACGTACCATCATATTAGAAGTCCTGATAATCTGTCCTCTCTCGACAGTCCCTCGGAGCTTCACTAAATTGGGTTCATTTAAAAAAATATGTAAAAGCATGTCGTTGATCGAGGCGCGGGGGTGCAGGCACGTAGGATCTACGATAGAGAGTAGTGTGTGGTATGTTCCTCTTATCGTAATTGTTGGGTGTTTGACCACCTCCTTAATGACTCCATACATTATTCTTTTATCAATGTTTTTCCTACACTCCCAAATTGTTATCATATTTATGTCGGGAAGTGGACTGCTGAGGGAGGGGACATAAAAAATTCGTACATTTCCCCCCATTCCAACATACAATGCTCTTTTTTGCAGTTTGTAACCACATATCATAACCCATTTGTCTTCTTGGGTCTTCTTAAGATGCTCATTTAGATCATGAGCCAAGTCGTCATTGAACATCACTTCAATTGCACTTCCCATTTCACCAGTTGGCTTGACTGAAACAAACAAACAAACTTATCTTACCACAATGTGTATATGAAGAAATACATACAGTGTTAGTGTTGTGTTTAGTTAGCATTAGGGAGTGTTGTGTTGGGGTGTGTTGTGTTGGGGTGTGTTGTGTTGGGGTGTGTTGTGTTGGGGTGTGTTGTGTTGGGGTGTGTTGTGGTGTGTTGGGGTGTGTTGTGTTGGGTGTGTTGTGTTGGGGTGTGTGTGTTGGGGTGTGTTGTTGGGGAGTGTTGTGTTGGGGTGTGTTGTGTTGGGGTGTGTTGTGTTGGGGTGTGTTGTGTTGGGGTGTGTTGTGTTGGGGTGTGTTGTGTTGGGGTGGTGTGTTGTGTTGGGGTGTGTTGTGTTGGGGTGTGTTGTGTTGGGGTGTGTTGTGTTGGGGGTGTGTTGTGTTGGGGTGTGTTGTGTTGGGGTGTGTTGTGTTGGGTGTGTTGGGGTGTGTTGTGTTGGGGTGTGTTGTGTTGGGTGTGTTGTGTTGGGGGTGTGTTGTGTTGGGGTGTGTTGTGGGTGTGTGTTGTGTTGGGGTGTGTTGTGTGGGGGTGTGTTGTTGGGGTGTGTTGTGTTGGGGTGTGTTGTGTTGGGTGTGTTGTGTTGGGGTGTGTTGTGTTGGGGTGTGTTGTGTTGGGGTGTGTATGTTGGGTGTGTTGGGGGTTGTGGTGTGTTGTGTTGGGGTGTGTTTTGTGTTGGTGTGTGTTGTGTTGTGTGTGTGTGTTGGGGTGTGTTGTGTTGGGGTGTGTTGTGTTGGGGTGTGTTGTGTTGGGGTGTGTTGTGTTGGGGTGTGTTGTGTTGGGGTGTGTTGTGTTGGGGTGTGTTGTGTTAGTGTGTGTTGGGGTGTGTTGTGTTGGGGTGTGTTGTGTTGGGGGTGTGTTGTGTTGGGGTGTGTTGGGGTGTGTTGTGTTGGGGTGTGTTGTGTTGGGGTGTGTTGTGTTGTGGTGTGTTGTGGGGTGTGTTGTGTTGGGGGTGTGTTGTGTTGGGGTGTGTTGTGTTGGGTGTGTTGGGGTGTGTTGGGGTGTGTTGTGGTGTGTTGTGTTGTGTGTTGTGTTGGGGTGTGTTGGGTGTGTTAGTGTGTTGTGTTTGGGGTGTGTTGTGTGGGTGTGTTGTGTTGGGGTGTGGGTTGGGGTGTGTTGTGTTGTGTGTGTTGGGGTGTGTTGGGGGTGTGTTGTGTTGGGGTGTGTTGTGTTGTGTTGGGGTGTGTGTGGGGGTGTGTTGGGGTGTGTTGTGTTGGGGTGTGTTGTGTTGGGGTGTGTTGTGTTGTGTGTGTTGTGTTGGGGTGTGTTGTGTTGTGTGTTGTGGGGTGTGTTGTGTTGGGGTGTGTGTTGGGGTGTGTTGGGGTGTGTTAGTTGGGGTGTGTTGTGTGTGTTGTGTTGTGTTGGGGTGTGTTGTGTTGGGGTGTGTTGTGTTGGGTGTGTTGGGGTGTTGTGTTGGGGTGTGTTGTGTTGGGGTGTGTTGTGTAGTGTGTTGTGTTGGGGTGTGTTGTGTTGGGGTGTGTTGGGGTGTGTTGTGTTGGGGTGTGTTGTGTTGGGGTGTGTTGTGTTGGGGTGTGTTGTGTTGGGGTGTGTTGTGTTGGGGTGTGTTGTGTTGGGGTGTGTTGTGGTGTGTTGTGTTGGGGTGTGTCGTGTTGGGGTGTGTTGTGTTTGGGTGTGTTGTGTTGGGGTGTGTTGTGTTGGGGTGTGTTGTGTGAGGTGTGTTGTGTTGGGGTGTGTTGTGTTGGGGTGTGTCGTTGGGGTGTGTTGTGTTGTGTGTTGGGGGGTGTGTTGTGTTGGGGTGTGTTGTGTTGGGGTGTGTTGTGTTGGGGTGTGTTGTGTTGGGGTGTGTTGTGTTGGGGTGTGTTGTGTTGGGGTGTGTTGTTGGGGTGTGTTGGGGGTGTGTTGTGTTGGGGTGTGGGTTGTGTGTGTTGGGGTGTGTTGTGTTGGGGTGTGTTGTGTTGGGGTGTGTTGTGTTGGGGTGTGGTTGGGGTGTGGTGGGGGTGTGTTGTGTGTGTGTTAGTGTGTGTTGTGTTGGTGTGTTGGGGTGTGTTGTGTTGGGGTGTGTTGTGTTGGGGTGTGTTGTGTTGGGGTGTGTTGTGTTGGGGTGTGTTGTGTTGGGGTGTGTTGGGGTGTGTTGTGTTGTGTGTTGTGTTGGGGTGTGTTGTGTTGGGGTGTGTTGTGTTGGGGTGTGTAGTGTGTTGTGTTGGGGTGTGTTGTGTTGGGGTGTGTTGTGTTGGGGTGTGTTGTGTTGGGGTGTGTTGTTGGTGTGTTGTGTTGGGGTGTGTTGTGTTGGGGTGTGTTGTGGTGTGTTGTGTTGGGGGTGTTGTGTTGGGGTGTGTTGTGTTGGGTGTGTTGTGTTGGGGTGTGTTGGGGTGTGTTGTGTTGGGGTGTGTTGTGTTGGGGTGTGTTGTGTTGGGGTGTGTTGTGGTGTGTTGTGTTGGGGTGTGTCGTGTTGGTGTGTTGTGTTTGGGTGTGTTGTGTTGGGGTGTGTTGTGTTGGGGTGTGTTGTGTTGGGGTGTGTTGTGTTGTGTGTGTTGGGGTGTGTTGTGTTGGGGTGTGTTGTGGTGGGTGTGTTGTGTTGGGGTGTGTCTGTTGGGGTGTGTTGTGGTGTGTTGTGTTGGGGTGTGTCGTGTTGGGGTGTGTCGTTGTGTGTTGGGGTGTGTTGTGTTGGGGTGTGTTGTGTGTGTGTTGGGGTGTGTTATGTTGGGGTGTGTGTTGTGTGTTGTGGTGTGTTGTGTTGGGGTGTGTCGTGTTGGTGTGTCGTGTTGGGGTGGTGTGTGTTGGGGTGTGTTGTGTTGGGGTGTGTTGTGTTAGTGTGTTGTGTTGGGGTGTGTTGGGTGTTGGGGTGTGTTGTGTTGGGGTGTGTTGTGTTGAGGTGTGTTGTGTTGTGTGGTTAGTGCGTTGGGGTGATGTCGTGTTGGGGTGTGTTGTGTTGGGGTGTGTTGCGTTGGGGGTGTGATGCGTTGGGGTGTGTTGCGTTGGGGTGGTTGTGTTGGGGTGTGTTGCGTTGGGGTGTGTCGTGTTGGGGTGTGTGTAGGTGTGTCGTGTTGTGGTGTGTCGTGTTGGGGTGTGTTGTGTTGGGGTGTGTCGTGTTGTGGTGTGTTGTGTTGGGGTGTTGTGTTGGGGTGTGTTGTGTTGGGGTGTGTTGTGTTGGGGTGTGTTGTGTTGGGGTGTGTCGTGTTGGGGTGTGTTGTGTTGGGTGTGTTGTGTTGTGGTGTGTTGTGTTGGGGTGTGTGTGTGTTGTGTTGTGTGTTGTTGGGGTGTGTTGTGTTGGGGTGTGTTGTGTTGGGTGTGTCGGGTGTGTTGTGTTGGGGTGTGTTGTGTTGGGGTGTGTTGTGTTGGGGTGTGTTGTGTTGGGGTGTGTTGTGTTGGGGTGTGTCGTGTTGGGGTGTGTCGTGTTGGGGTGTTTGTGTTGGGGTGTGTTGTGTTGGGGTGTGTTGTGTTGGGGTGTGTTGTGTTGGGGTGTGTTGTGTTGGGGTGTGTCGTGTTGTGTGTGTTGGGGTGTGTTGTGGTGTGGGTGTGTTGTGTTGGGGTGTGTCGGTTGTGTGTTGTGTTGGGGTGTGTTGTGTTGGGGTGTGTCGTTGTGGTGTGTTGAGTGTGTCGTGTGTGTGTTGGGGTGTGTTGTGTTGGGGTGTGTTGTGTTGTTGGGGTGTGTTGGTGGGTGTGTTGGGGTGTGTTGTGTTGGGGTGGTGTGTTGGGGTGTGTGTTGGGGTGTGTCGTGTTGGGGTGTGTGTGTTGGGGTGTGTTGTGTTGGGGTGTGTCGTGTTGGTGTGTTGTGTTGGGGTGTGTTGTGTTGGGGGTGTGTTGTGTTGGGGGTGTGTTGTGTTGGGGTGTGTGGGTGTCGTGTTGGGTGTGTCGTGTTGTGGTGTGTTGTGTTGGGGTGTGTTGTGTTGGGGTGTGTCGTGTTGGGGTGTGTCGGTTGGGGTGTGTTTGTTGGGGTGTGTTGTGTTGGGGTGTGTTGTGTTGTGGTGTGTCGTGTTGGGGTGTCGTGTTGTTGTGGTTGGGGTGGTTGTGTTGGGGTGTGTTGTGTTGTGTGTTGTTGGGGTGTGTCGTGTTGGGGTGTGTCGTGTTGGGGTGTGTTGTGTTGGGGTGTGTTGTGTTGGTGTGTTGTGTTGGGGTGTGTTGTGTTGGGGTGTGTTGTGTTGGGGTGTGTTGTGTTGTGGTGTGTTGTGTTGGGTTGGGGTGTGTTGTGGTGTGTTGTGTTGGGTTAGGTTAATGTTAGTTTAGGTTAATGTTATGTTAGGTTAATGTTAGTTTAGGTTAATGTTAGTTTAGGTTAATGTTAGTTTAGGTTAATGTTAGTTTAGGTTAATGTTAGTTTAGGTTAATGTTAGTTTAGGTTAATGTTAGTTTAGGTTAATGTTAGTTTAGGTTAATGTTAGTTTAGGTTAATGTTAGTTTAGGTTAATGTTAGTTTAGGTTAATGTTAGTTTAGGTTAATGTTAGTTTAGGTTAATGTTAGAAGGACAACTAAGGGTTGAGATTATGTATAAACTTACCTTCCCTTAACATGACTTTAAACTGCAGTGTTTCCTTTACCACTGTATAACTTCCAGTAGACATGAGCAATCCCTAGAGGAGAGTAACAAACAGGTACAGTAGTGTA